CCCACTGGGAGAAGAAGCTCACCAAATCTCACGTCTTCGAGTGCAATTTAGAGGCGACCGTTGCAAAGATCATCTCGCCAAAGGTACGCTATTGAACGATGGGGTGTGTCCTGGTAAGTGCTGGCGTCGAGCTGTGGCTGTTGTGGAGATTCACCAAATTGGACATTTCTGGGGCTATTTCAAAAGCAGTGTGAGGTAAATTCCTGATGCGATTTTAATTCAGCTCTCTCTCAGATAAAATCTCCATCCCATTAAGTGACAATTATATAAATGTTTCACTTGCCACCTTACTCCTGGAGATCTGTGGCGTGCATTTACATACCGTGTAAGAAAGTGTTACCACAACAGACTCGGATGGCACCAGTCTTTCTTCAGAGGTTTGGAGCGTCAGCTGTGGGTATTGTTCAACAGAATTTGGGAAATGCTGGTGTTGGAGGGAATTGTCTCAAAAGGACTGAGAAGTCAGCTACTTAAGCAATGTCAAGGGACTAAGAGAAGCGCCATGAAATTGCACACAGACTGTTTGAGGAGAACGCTGATCTTACAATAAATAACTTTCAGCATGTTGTAACCATCCTGCCACTTGCAGCGGATGTCTTCCAGCTTCCCCACGACAAGCCCTTAAATATGTGATTAACACACGTAGTGCTTGTGAGAGGCTCTGTATGAGCAGAGCCGGAGGCTGAAGTCTCTGCGTGTCTCAGGTGAGGTGGGACTGCAGCGAGCTGTCCTTGCGGTCACGGTCAGGGGACGAGTGAGGAAGGCTTTACGCTGTCATGAGATCCAGGGCTTTCAGCTGGTGCAAGCAGGTTATTTTTAATTTATTTTATTTTCTCCATGAAAATACCTCCCTGATATTTGATAGCGTCGATTTCATTGTTCGCCTTGCGTAGTTTGTGATTGACCGAGCGTTGTTAAAATGCTGTTAGTTGAGTATCCTCTCCTTTCCCCTGCCCGCTGTCTTGTCTAGCATCGGCACAACCACCCTGAGCGTGCTTCATGCAGGAAAACTTTGCGTAAATAAGGGCATAGTTATGGCCTTCATTTGCACAAATAAGGGCGTAGGTATGGGGTCTGCTCGCTTAAATAACCGAAGTGTCAGATACAGGGATATGCACGGCTGCTTTCTGTTTCAGGATGTGTTGAGCTGTTTGTTGGCAGTCAGCTGAGGTGGTTTAGATGAAGTAAGAGCACGGCAATGTTTGGCAACAGAAGCCACTAGAAGTTCCGAGGTCTGAAAATTAATTTCTGTTTACAGTCGTCAGTATCCGTACAGAGCCCTGTTGAATCTTGTAGAGATCGATACTGGTGTATGTTACTGGAACTCAGTTACTACTGTGTAATGTTTTCATTTTAGTATTTTTGCCAAAAATGCTAACTCCTGAACAACTTTTTTTAAATCATCAAGTTTGCAATAGCTCTGCGAACTTCTGGACACTTACTCCTAGGAGTGGTGCGGATTTACCACAGGAAAACAAAGTACCTCCTGGCAGACTGTAATGAAGCTTTGACAAAAATGAAGACAGCATTTCGCCCAGGTACATACTGAATTCTGCATTTTTCCATCTCTGTCCTTTACAGCTCTCATTTTAAAAGTTAATTTTTGATATTTCTCTTAAATACATATTATTGATCCCAAAGGAAGTTGAACATACTAGTGCTTCCTACTGGTGTTTAGCCTGGCTTAATTTGATGCCATTTCAGTTCTTTGACTCCTTTAAAAGTAGCAGTATCTCACGAGAAAGAGCTTGACTTGAGCCTCTGTTGCTAGATAATTAATTTTAATTGCTGATGACACCAACAACATGTCCAAGAGTGTGTTGGTGCCAGATCTGACAGTGTGCTTTGAGCTCGAGCCATGTAGCCAGCAAGAAGGCGTCAGCAATGACCGGATCCTTTTCCAACAGGCTGTGCCTTTATTGTACTTGGGCAACAAACACGGAGGCACCGTTGTCTAAAAAAAAAAGGCTAAAACCAGGACACCAGCATCTGTTGCCAGCCCTAACATGCTTTGTGACCTGGTCTGTTGGCAGAATAGTGAATACTCACTCTGCATTATTCACAAGGATAGGATTGTGATTAGTTAGTTAATATTTGTGAACATTTGGAAGTCTCTAGAGGACGCATGGTAAGTACACAGCACTATCAGCTTTGTACAGATACTACACCAGCTTACAGAGGACCCCATGGGACGAGAACAAGACACAACAGTTGTAACTGCAGCAACAGAGACTCTGACTACATGTAAGGGTGGGCAGAATTCCCAGTGGAAGTGGTAAAAATCTGAAACAGGCTGCCTAGGGATGCTGTGGAATCCCCATCAGCAACAATAGTCAGAAGTGATCCGGCTTTAGAAATTAACCCTGTTTTGAGCAAAAGATTGGGTTGGATGACCTTAAAAAATCTCTTCTCACCTGAATTGTTCCAGGGTTCTCTGATTCCCAGGTATTTGCACTCTCACTTTGCAATTATTCGATGCTGGAGAATCACATTGCACGGGCACTTACAGGCACGTTACAGGGGAGGAAAAGAAAAAGCAATAATTCATTTGAAGTGGTGACAGACTCTAGGCTAAATGTCAGCTGTGAGAATCTTTCAGGGACTTCAAGCAGCTGTTCATAAGCCAATGTATTTGCAGTATTTCAGGTCCTGTAATAGCAGAATCTTCTGTATTTGTCTGTAAAAAAATATGATTTCTAAAGTATGTGTAAACTAAGGATTTTAATTCCACTTCAGAGTCCTGATGGGAAAGTGCCCAAGCTTTACCTTTCCGTTATTTAGAATGGCAGCAGACCTTCCTGACAGGTTTAGAGTCTTATTATACGTTCTTGGGAGGACATTATTTTCATTGTATTGATACTTATGTTATTATGTTTTCTGTATTGTGGTTTTTTTTAGGCCTTGACCTTCCAGAAGAGATCGTTGAGGCAGCTTATCAGGCCATTACATTACCTGAAGAATTTAATGATTTTGAAACACCACTACCTGATTTAAAGTAAATGCTTGCCTAGTTTTTGTTCATTATTTTAGTATTTTCAGAAGTAAAAGATATCCCATGACTGGAATTGCTTTGCTTTGATAACTGAATTCTCCTAAATTCTGAGTCAGCCTCACAAGGCTACAGTTACAGGACTTGTGCTTTGGTAGAGCTCCTCAAAATCTGTTTAATTAACAGACCTTTAATGATTTAAGGTATTGAACTTAGATTTTTAAGCCTGTAAACAACTTTCTGCCCTGTAACAAAGATCTACAAGTTAATATAAACCCAGTTGTAGGGCCAAGGAAGCTCTGGTGTCGGCACAGTGTTGTACTGTTCCATTGTGTAACCGCGTTTAATTTCTGCTCCACTGCCCTTTGGGGCTGGGCTGTTTTATCAGCAGCAGTCAGCTTGGCTCCTGATGAAAAGCCAGCGTATTCCTCTGGCCTTTCTAACACAAATCAGCATTTAATGTAGAAAAAATCTGACAAAAGAGCAGGAGGCCAAGCCGTGGTTCTGATGCCTGTGGTGACCCTGCAGGTCTGCGCTAACCAACTCGTGCTGAGGCTTCCTCTGTCTCTCGTCACAAATACAGTTTGGTGGGATCTGTAAGAGTGTAGGATTTTGTGAATACAGGGTGACACCGTTGATTCCAGAACCTCAGTGCACTAACTCTGCGAAGCGTGCTGTTTCTGCCCACCCGGAGAGTCTGTGCGGTTTGATGGACGGGTGATGGTGGCCCACTAATTGAGACGCCTTCGACATGATGAGCGGCCAGTGGAGAGCAGGGCTTGGATGTGAACAAACTCGCCTGTGCCCGAGTTTACTGGCAAAAGGGCAGAGAAATAGGAAAGGGGGAGGATGGGTCACCCGCTAGAGATGGGGCCGTCACGGCCATCGCTGACTCAGTCCTCGCTGTCCACCATACGTTGGTGAAGCTTTGGCTGGCAACAGCAGCTGCTGCCTGCTTGCTTAGAGGTCTCAGTTTTAATAAATACATAGCACGGGTTTTCCATATGCTTATTTTTAGCTGTTAGAGGAAATTCCAAGCAGTGAATTTTTTCAATAAAATTTTAAATGACTTGGCTGGGAGTAGCTTTGGGAACTGATTGTTCCCTCTTCACAGAAATGAGGATCAGCCGGGGTGCCTTCAATGCCATAGAAAATAGAAACTGTCTTTCAGGGGTTTATCATAAAATGTCAGGATTGAAGACTGTTTAGTAAGAAATTTTCACATTCCAATGAAACGGTCAACAGGTTTCAGTTCACCCTCTATTTTGCATAATGTTTTTTTTTCATCAGTGCCATTGATGTTGCTGAACATTTTACCTTGAATCAGAGCAGAGCTGAGGACATCACACTCACAGAGGAGTACGGAAGCAATATGCTTCTTTGTGATAGAAACTTTGGTGAGAGAAGTTGAGAAATTAGAAATATTCCATAAGGAAAAGTGTGGTTTATATAAAACTTTGTACAGTCTGAGTCCTTTCCACATGTGAAAAAGTTATTATGAAAAGTGCATTTTTTTCGCACTTGTGCCGATTGGCCTGTCATACAGCCTTATGCTTAATTTTTTGTGTAAGTACTCTGCCTAAGTAATATAATATGGTATCGGAGGCTGAGAATCAAACCCAACATTTTCTTTTTTTTACTGAATTAGCTAAAATTGTTTCTTGTTTATTCCATTTGAGGTATGGGATGTCTTACAATCCCTTAGAAATTCCCTGAAGCGTTAGGAAATGAATAAATATGTGTTTCAAAAATGCCTGCAGATGAAACATCAGGAATTCTGTGTTTACTCAGACGAAGAACCGGAAGCACTAAGAAAAAAGAGTTTCTTGGACAGCAGAACCGCAAAGAGCAGTAACAGCCCTGACCACAACTCCGCCAGCGTGAGCAGAGACAAGTCTGTGCTGCAGGGAGATACCTTCTGTTTGGAGGAGGACTTATTTGGGGATGAGGAGGAGGATGTAGATATGATTGGTAGGGTTCACCGCAGATAAACAGAATTAGTTTCTTTCCAAACGTTTTCATTCTTACAGGAAAAAACAAGGCAGTGTGGAAGTGACTGTTTTCAAACGTAAATTTTCTATCGTTTATGGTTCTCGTGCTTTGTTTTCTTTTTACTTGTCGCTAAATCTGTGGTCGCTTAGGCATTGCCAAGTAAAATTGTTTTAAAGGATGTATTTTACTTTTTTAAAGACATTCAATTTATACTTGATGTTTATCAATTTCGTAGGCATTTTCAAAGGCGAAGTGCTGCAGCATTTTTATCCTTATTGCTGTAATAACAAAGGCAGCAAAGTCACTTCTACATCTTTATGGTTTAGAGCATTGATGTAAATCCCTATAGATTTATACCTTCTAAAAAATTATCAATACCATACTTATCAAAGAAAAGGTGGAAATCTCAAAATTAAGATTAATGCTCTCCCTCCTGTGCTGTTGAAGGCACCGTGGGCAGCGGCCCGTGGAAGCTGAGGTTTTTTTTCTTTGACCTTCAATGTGCAAAATGAGGCTGCATCAGGCTCTTTTGTGTCTGCTGAGGCTTACGATGCTTAAAGCTCTCTGCATTTTGTGTTTAAGAAATCTTGCTGAGGGATGAGCAAAGCAGCCTACATAAGGACTTGCTTGATCTGGAGGAAGAACGTCCTTTGTCAGAAGATCTGCCGGGGAACAGCACAGCCGGTGAGTTTGCGACGTTCGCTCCGTCTCACCCACGCACGAGCCCTCTGCTCCTGTGTTAATGCCTCAAGTTACTCACGTCCAGCTTCATGCCCTATCCCCTGCCTTTTTATTTTCATTTATTTTGCTTTTTGATTTTTTCCTGATATGCATGTTGGATATAATGTAATTTAACCTATGGATTCCGGATTTGTAATTTGACATTGCTTAGGAACACTTTTATCTGATGTCCTGCTGGATTCGCTGTTGATCCGCCCCACTGCTTAGTATGAAATCCCTTTTGTAGGTGAAACGAAACAGCGTGAGGGTGCGTTGTAACTTTGGACTTTCCCTAGGAGTATTCTGGCCTCATATTTCAGTGACAAATGACATAAAGGTGTTGTTAGTCTTCTTGGGGTTTGATGTTGATAAAAGAAATTAATTTTTGAAGCATTTCTGGGGTGTGGGGGTTTTTTTGTATGTTAACTCCTTTTACCCTCATCATACTGTTACTTTAAAACTGAGAATTCTGGCACAGCTTTCAAAGGAAACTGTGGCACTAGCCCCTCCCTGCACTACTCCTGGTGCTGCCTGTTCCTCTGATGTGGACCAAAACACTTTTCCCTCTGAACATTTTTCAGCAGGCAGATTTTCCTCCCGATGAGTTTTTCAACCCGTGCGGGTTCTGGTGTCAGCGAAGGGAAGCGCGCGGTGCAGAGCGTGGGCAGGAGCGGGGGCATCTATTGCTGTGTTTGGGAGATTAGAGACAAAATCGTGGTTTTCTGGCTCTGATCTTTTTTGTCTGATACCGTTCTCTGTTGTGAGATTGAGCGATTATTCCATTTTGTGAACTCTTTTGTGTGTGGTTTTTGGTTTTTTTTTGACGTGGGTTCTCTGCTGTATTTCCTTATAGTGGAGTTCAACTGCGCAAATGCCACCGTTGAGGAGGTCGGTCACCTAACGAATGAAATGACATTTTTGTCGAAAGAAGAAGGATTTGTGCTTGAGCCACTTGATGATTCAGGTCAGAGCTTGACCAGTCTCTTGCCAAATGTTTACATTAACTAGGCTTGTTTTTCTTCTTGTGAGTGAAAATATTTGCAAAACTCTTTACTCCCACTTTAGATTTCATCTGCTCCTGCTGTCAGACTTGTGTTTTATGGCAACTACTACCGGTATCAGGTTTTTCATCTGGTTTTTGCTCTGCAGCTCCACTGGCAGCGCAAGGCCGACCCGGTCATGAGTGTTACTGACGTTTCAGCTGAAGAACTGTCATCGCTAGTGACACACCAGCGATTCTTATGTGCAAAATAGCAATCGCAAAACTTTCAGGCCTCTGTATCACTTTGTTTTGTAAACTTTGAACTTTAACAAGATCCAAAAAGAAAAAAGTTTCATTCCTTCTGTGAGTAAATCTCTGTGTTAACCTGTCACACTAGTGGCTGTCAGCAAAGAACCGAGTTCATGTTGACACTCGTAATTAGAACACTGGAATTTCCCAGCCTGCCAAAATAACGTTCAGGAAGTTATGGCTGTAGCACCAGTCCGTGTCTGTCTTTTGTGTTTACTACATATATATAATTAAATTGCTAAAGGATTAAAATGACAAATACAGATATAAATTATGAGGTAATCAAACCTGCTGAGTACATTTCTCGGAATGATTAACTTCCTGATGGATTAAAGGCAGCTTATTCAGTCTTGTTGGTCTATCACGTGTTCTTATTCAGTCCTCATGTTCCTGGTTCTTCAGCCCCTCAGTCATATGTCTGCTGTAATTCGACATCCCTGCATTGTCTGCACAAGAACACACAGATAATATTTTATGAACACTTCTGAGGAAATGGCCTGTGCACTTGCACTTTGATTTTTTTAGGTCTGTGCGGTGTTTCAGGAGGTCAGCAGCCTGTCCGTTTGATTCGCAATGCTTTTTTCTGTGCTAAGCGTTCGGTGAATAGACTAGGGGGTGTTTGGTTTGGTGTTTTTTTTTAAATACTTGCTCTATTTAGTTGTCAACCAGGTGAAAAAAAATAAAAGAAAGAGGAAGTTGCTGGTGGATGCCGTGAAGGAGATCAGCAGCAACGCTATATACAACCAACTGAACAACTGCACGGACATTCTTGCTACACTGGACCTTGCACCCCCGACAAAGAAAACCATGATGTGGAAGAAGCTGGGAGGCGTGCGGAGCCTCCTGTCCCACGCTGCGCAGCCCGTGGTTCATGCCGAGCTGCAGAAGGTAAGGATCAGTTCCTTGCAGGTTTTCGTGCCGCCGTACGGACTAAGGGACTGTTGCACATCTCGGGGTGTAGGTGTGAGAGGTTTTCGCAGGCTCGGCTTTCGGCGAAGGCGTGGCAAAGCGCTGGCGTGTGGCCTCACCGACAGCACGGTTTTGCAGTACAGGCCAGTGAGATATCCGATGATTTGTGTAGTCACCACTAACTGCTTCATCAGAAAGACCTTCTGTAGAGCTCACGGCTTTAATCTCCAGCACTCCAACAAGTCAAAAATGACAGAGAAGGTTGAGAGCTGGTGTTTCATTTCACACACTGGCATCCAGCTGGCTGTACGCTGACACACAACTTTTTGGATTTCTGTCGGTTTCTTTTCAGCTTTCTGCTTGGCTTTCATAGAATCATAGCATCATTCAGGTTGGAAAAGCCCCTTGGGATCATTGAGTCCAACAACGAACTCTGCTCTGCAAAGCTCACCCCTAAACCATCTCCCCCAGCACCACATCTAAACAACTTTTAAACACCTCCAGGGATGGGAACCCAACCGCCTCCCTGGGCAGCCTGTGCCAACATTTGACTACTCTTTCTGTAAATTTTTTTTTCCTAATGTCCAGTCAAAACCTTATAATTTTCTATTTCCTTTCTGCTCTGTTATCAATATGAGGCAGCATCTTTGTTCTACATTTATTTTAAAGTTACGTCAGCCTTAAATATTATTCTTACAATGTTGTTAATGGCTTTGGAGAGATGGTGTGCCAGTTTGCGTCGTATTTTCCCAACTGGAGATTCAGCTTCCCGCAGCAGAGCAGCCGGGGCAGACTTGCCCTTCAGAGGACCGTGAGGTTGTTCAACCAAGTAACAAGCGACAGGACAAGAGGAAATGGGCTCAAGTTGCCCCAAGGGAGGTTCAGGTTGGATATTAAGAAGAATTTCTTTACTGAAAAGGTTATTGGGTGTTCAGGTTGCCCAGGCAGGAATGGAGTCCCCGTCCCTGGAGGGAATTGAGTCAGGTAAACACAGTGCTGAGGGATCTGCTTTAGTTGAGACCTTGTCAGCGTTAGGTTAATGGCTGGACTTGATGATCTTAAAGATCTTTTCTAATCTGGGTGATTCTGTTCCTGATCCTGCTATCGCTCTGGCCAGAGCACCCTTCCCCGGGGCTGTGCACCTCGCTGCTCCTTTTGCCTGGGAAAGATGCCCTCATTCCATGGAAACACCACCTATCAAAGCCTCTCATGTCCCCGCAGAGAGCTGGCAGACAACTCAAAGAAGCTGTAAATTCAGAGCTGGCGATAGGAGAACAAGGTGATAG